TATATTTTCTTGCATTCTACTTCATTCTATAGCTTAAATGTATATATATATATATATGTATATATATATTTAATATATATATATAAAATATAAATAATACACGTGTAATTTATGTAAAGTAATTAATAAACTTTTGTATCTATATCATTAAATTAATAATTAAAACTTTTTATATAAATTCACATGTATTTTATTTCATGACAATAATTTCAACATTCATTAAACGTTTTCGTATTAATTAATTAAATAATATTGATTTTTGTAAGTATAAATAATAATATTTATCATTTCTAAGCATTTATAACAACAAATTAAATTCAATATACTTCATTGATGATTTTTGTCTTTTTAAATTTTTATATTTCGATCGCTTATTAATTTGGAGGTTATGGTCATAACCTTAATTGCATGTAAACAACCATAAATAATCTTCATTTTTTTAATAAAAAATAAGACAAAATATAAATACTATAGAAAATATAAATAATAGAAATTAACTAAAGTTAGTTGTTATATATTTTTTATAGTCATAAACTAAAAAGATATTACTATGGATGCTGATTTATATGATGAATTTGGAAATTATATTGGTCCTGATTTGGCTTCTGATAGTGAAGATGAAAATGAATATGGAAATGCTGGAGATGAAGCAGAAGATAGAGAACGATCAGATGAAGAAATGGAAGAAGACAAAGATGAAACTAGAGAGCAATCAGATCAAGGCAACTCTATGGCAGTTGTACTACACGAAGATAAAAGATATTATCCAAGTGCTTTAGAAGTTTATGGGCCAGAGGTAAATTTAATAATTGTATTTTTATTATTAGCCTCAACATTAATACATATTTAATATATTATTAATATGTTATAGGTAGAAACATTGGTACAAGAAGAAGATGCACAACCATTAGATAAACCATTAATAGCACCAACAAGAAAACCAAAGTTTCAAATAAAACAACAACAACTTCCAGAAACAACATATAGCATAGAATTTTTAGCAGATATGATGGATGCACCTCATCTCATACGTAATGTTGTTTTGCTTGGTCATCTACATCATGGCAAAACTACTTTAGTTGATTGTCTAGTGAGACAGACTCATCCCTATCTACACAGTGTTACAGATGAAAAACCTTTAAGGTACAATAAATGTATATGAATAATTGCAATTAATATTTATAATTAGAAAATATATATATATATTTATATTTTTTTAGATATACAGATACATTATTCACGGAACAACAGCGAGGAGTATCAACAAAAGCAACACCTGTAACTTTATTGCTGCAAGATGTGAAATCAAAATCTTATCTTTTAAATATATTCGATACTCCTGGTCACGTAAATTTTTCTGATGAGGCAACAGCAGCAATACGTTTATCCGATGGTGCGATATTGATCGTCGATGCTGCTGAAGGGGTTATGTTAAACACAGAACGTTTATTAAAACACGCGCTTCAGGAAAAACTTGCGTTAACAGTTTGCATAAATAAGATAGATCGACTTATTCTAGAATTAAAATTACCTCCATTAGACGCGTATTATAAATTAAGACACATCATCGAAGAAATTAATGGTCTCATAGCGCTATATTCGGATTCTGAAAATCCATCTTTTGTATCTCCTGCAATCGGAAATGTATGCTTCGCGAGTTCAGAGTACAATGTTTGTTTCACTCTGAAATCATTTGCAGCACTTTATGCTAGAACTCATCCCACTCTTAATGCTAATGAATTTGCGAAGCGGTTATGGGGAGATATATATTTTAATTCGAAAACGCGAAAATTTACAAAAAAACCACCGCATAATACCGCACAACGCAGTTTTATCGAATTTATTCTTGAACCATTATATAAAATTTTCGCCCAGGTTGTTGGCGATGTTGATACAACTTTACCTGATGGTTAGTTATAAAGAAATTTTTATAGGTTAGGTTATTGAGTTTTTCGTATCGTAACATAATTTCTAATTTAATTTCACAGTACTAGATGAATTAGGAATAAGATTAACATCGGAAGAAATGAAAATGAATATTAGGCCTCTCTTGAGGTTGGTATGCACACGGTTTTTAGGAGATATGTGCGGATTGGTCGATATGTGTGTAGCCCACGTTCCCAGTCCTCAATCACATGCACCGGTTAAAGTTCAACACGTATACACAGGCCCTATGGATTCACCTCTCGCGCAGAATATGATTAATTGCGATCCTAATGTTAGTATATACGAAATATTTGTATGTACGTCTCTTCCAGATAGAATCTAACACAAAAATGATATTTACAGGGAAGATTAATGATTCATAGTACAAAAATGTATCCTACCGAAGATTGTACATTATTTGTTGTCCTTGGAAGAGTAATGTCAGGTACACTCGAGGCGGGACAACGCGTTCGCGTATTAGGCGAAGCATATTCGCGTACTGATGAAGAAGATTCTCGAGTTCTGACCGTGGGAAGATTGTGGATTAGCGAGGCACGCTATTCAATAGAATTAAACAGAGTTCCCGCAGGCAATTGGGTTCTTATCGAGGGTATAGACAGGCCAATCGTAAAAACAAGCACGATTACTGATCTCACAAATTCAGACGATTTACATATTTTCCGCCCGCTAAAATTCAATACACAGAGCGTAATTAAAATTGCGGTCGAACCTGTCAATCCATCAGAATTGCCAAAAATGTTAGATGGTCTCAGAAAAGTGAATAAAAGTTATCCTTTGTTGGGTACCAGAGTCGAAGAAAGCGGCGAACACGTCGTCTTAGGCACTGGTGAATTATATTTAGATTGCGCAATGCACGACTTGCGACGTATGTATTCGGAGATCGATATAAAAGTCGCAGATCCTGTTGTTGCTTTCGCTGAGACAGTGGTAGAAACGAGTTCTCTTAAGTGTTTCGCTGAAACACCTAATAAACGGAATAAATTGACGATGATAGCCGAACCACTCGAGAGAGGCCTTGCGGAGGATATCGAGGCGGAGCATGTTAAAATCACATGGAACAAGTAAGTGTAAAAAATTTATATCTCATAATTTACGAAACAAAATGTGTCTATTCTTACAGAAAACGATTAGGAGAATTCTTTCAAACGAAATATGATTGGGATTTGCTAGCTGCGCGAAGCATATGGGCATTCGGTCCAGACGCTACGGGTCCTAATATTTTAGTTGATGATACTTTGCCATCGGAAGTAGACAAAACGTTATTGAATAGTGCTCGTGATGCTATTATTCAAGGTTTTCAGTGGGGAACTCGAGAAGGTCCTCTCTGCGAGGAACCAATTCGAAACGTGAAGTTTAAAATTTTGGATGCCGTAATTGCCCAAGAACCTCTTCATCGAGGAGGTATCTAAATATTATTGTTTTTCTTTCTTTCTTTCTTTCTTTTATTTTACGAACAAAATTAATTTTTTCTTTTTACAGGTGGTCAAATAATTCCAACCGCCAGAAGAGTAGCGTACTCTGCTTTCCTCATGGCAACGCCCAGGTTGATGGAGCCATATTTATTCGTCGAAGTTCAAGCGCCTGCGGATTGCGTATCGGCAGTTTATACTGTACTGGCTAAGAGAAGAGGTCACGTGACCCAAGACGCTCCTGTTCCTGGAAGTCCCTTATATACTATCAAAGCCTTCATTCCAGCAATCGATAGTTTCGGATTCGAGACCGATTTACGAACTCACACGCAAGGCCAGGCATTCTGCCTGTCTGTATTTCATCATTGGCAAATCGTACCTGGCGATCCATTAGACAAAAGTATTACGATTCGACCACTCGAGCCACAACCAGCTACACATTTAGCTAGAGAATTTATGTTGAAGACAAGAAGACGGAAAGGACTTTCCGAAGATGTATCTATCAATAAATTCTTCGATGATCCTATGTTACTTGAATTAGCCAGACAAGACGTTCTATTGAATTATCCATTATAAACTATTTCCAAATAATTTCAACTTTAATATAAGAATGTATCCATATCCAATAAATAATTAATTTTATATAATAATCTGTCTATTGTGTTTATTTATGCCTATCTTCTATTTCTATTTCCCTTGCTCCTCTTTATATCCATAAAAAAGTATCTTATAGATGAAAAGAAATCTAATTATATTTTTTACTTATATTTGAAAGCGTTTCTTGATATTTATCAATATGCGGCATATATACGAAACGATAAAAAGAAGAAATGTTAATCCTATAATTACATGGTTATAAATAAAAAATGTTACTAAAGAATGTGGAATATATTGCGAAAATATATTGCGTATTCGAAAGTAGATTGCAATGTACGATAAAAAATCGATGTCTACATCAATTCTATGTATAAAGTAAAATCATCAAATATTAAACAATATTATATTATATCTATAATAAAACTTATATTTTTTTTATTACTCTAATAAAACAGATTCGGAAAATCAATATAACTATTTAATATTAAAGATACTCTTAACAGAAAATAACAGACATTCCTAGGCGTTGCTATTAAAATACTCGAGTATTCGATTTATTCTATTGGATTTAACATAAAATTAATCATTTGATATGAATTGAATAATATAAATATCATAAATCATAAGATAAAAAAAGAATAGAAAATCTGAAATGTTTAGCATACGTCGAAGATGGAAATTCGAGATGGAAATGTAAGTATTGGTCGCGCAGCGCGCGCAGATAGCAGGCGGAGTCGCAACTGCGCATAGTCGAATGGGAGGTTAAAGTGGTCGGAGCTTGGCGCCATTTTACCTACTATGGCCATGCCCATTCATCCGCCCATCAGCGTCGATCGACCAAGAGAGTTGTACTGCCTTGATGGACGCAAAACCGGGTTCGTTCAGCGACTGTCTCTTTTCAAGGCGATGTCGCTGAAGCAGACTACCGCGTCGCCGCCGATCGATCAGTCGACTTCACGTACTTCTCTCTCTCTTTTCCCTCTCTGAAATCCATGCTACTATATATGCACAATCATGTTTTTTTGACGCTTGATTTTTGTGATGAGGCCGAATCTTCAAATGAAAGTTTCTAGGCCTTATTCCAAAGAAATGAAGCCATTTTTAACCGATTAATGATCTATTATATGGCGCTACAACGTTTTATAATTATATCATAATATAAAGTGAATAACTTGAAATTGTAAAACTTTTTTACAGCGTTTTACGAAGAATAAAATTGATAACAGGATCTATCAGTATTAAAAGATATAACACGAATTTAAACATTCGTGTCAAAAAACGCGTTAAATAACTAACATAAACAATTGAAATACACAAGTATACAATTGAAAATACGCAAAAAATGCGTGACACGGATTATTTACAATAACGTGTGATGTGCTAACGACGACACTGTTGGTGCGCAAGATATTTCTCGAATACGGTTCGGTGGCTTTCGTAGCGCGTTATCGGTAGACGGTGTGCTTGTATGCGTAACTATCGTCGTAACTAGAATAACGCCTTTACGATCGTGCAGCCACGTTTGCCTTGTTTGCCAACCATGAGTGCCTCGTTTCTTTGACATACAGATCGAAGTTACGAAACTAGAGGTCTTGATGAATCGTTAATGGAATACGTTTAATAAGCAACTTCGATGTCTCATATTTATTAGCACGCAGTGCCAGCGTTATATGCTTGCGTATTTATCGTGTGTATTCGTCGATATATCAACTATTATCATAATACGAGACAGATTGCTGTTCATAATAGTTCGAAACCAGTATTTTATGCTCGATGCGCCGTGACTGCATTCAACGCATCTAATAATTAGAGCAACGTGGAAAGGGATTGTATTCGGTCCAACGAATTCCACGTACTGATTAACTATGCATAATTTGACGGTCTTTCTTTGGAATTTGAAAATATAAATAATATTTAAATATTAAATATTTTAACCTAACCTTGGACCAATCGTCTATTCTTATTTCGAAGCAGGTAAAGAAAGAGATTTATTTTCGTAAAGATTAGGTAAATACATGGAACGAAAAAGAAAGGAAAGTACTGGAAAAAGAACCGTTGCTTTCTCGCGTCGGTGAATAAAGGTGAAACGATCCACGGTCGATCTGACTTCGAATCGATTAGTTCTTTTTTTACTAGCATACACCGTCGATCGATAAGGAACGAAATCGATCCATTTCAATGATTCGATCAATGATAAATTTAACGATCAAAGAATACAAAAGGTAAAAAAGTATAGTAGAAATAGGAGAGAGGATTGGGCAAGAAGAGGAAAGGTCGTAATCGCGGAAGAGGACGAGGTCGGAACAGGAAACCGGCTGGTTCGTCGACGCTCGCCGACGCTCGGCGTCGCTCGTGCGGCTCCGTCGTAACGAGGCGGGGTTTAGGCGGGGTCGATACGAACAGAGCCCGTGTCTTCCCATCGTTTCCGTGCAGCGTCGTTCTAATCGCACCGTATCGAAAAGTGGCAGCGACTACCGCCGCAGTTCGGCGCCACCGCTGCACACACTTGCTCTCTTGTTGGCCTCCCCCGCCACCGCCACCGCCGCCGCCACCACCACCTCCATCATCGCCACCGCCCCCGCCGCCGCCGGCACCATCACCACCACCACCACCACCAGATCCCCGATATCATCGTGCATCGTCGCACTCATTCGAGAGTCGGCCGAGTGCACCGAATCGAGTCGTGGCCAGAGAGAGCGGTTACGTTACGTCGAGGCGCGCGACGAGACCCCGCGAGTCCTCTACGGGGAGGGGGTAGCGCGGAGGGGAAGATTGAGCGAGAGACTTCGAGGGGGGAGTGTGAGAGCAAGAGAAGGAAGGAGTGATACAGGCAAGAGCGCGCGCGCGCGCCTGTCGACCCACCGGTCGATCGACAACCACGTCGTCGACGGGACAATCACGACGACGACGACAACGGTGAGGAAAATCACGGTGCACGAGGATAATAAAGACGAGATCGAGTTACTCCTCTCGATTAGAGCGAGAAGGACGAGAACGTAAGAAGAACGACCAAGGAAAGGAGAAAAACTTGGTAAAGGAGGAAGGGGAAAGAGACGGACGGAGAAAAGAGAGAGTGTGTGTGTGTGTGGAAGAGCGAAAGAGAGGCAAGTATCGTGAGGAAGGAAGGAAGGAAGGAAAGAAGGAAGGGAAAGGAAAGAGAGAAAATCGGGTCGAAATCGTCGGACATGTGCGCGGCGCTGTGCTCGCAAGCAGCAGGGACGTGATGGTACGTAGCTCGCAGCGTGCAAGTTATCAGGATTGCTCGCGGTCACGGGTTCGTGACGACCATGGTGAGGAGTGCGACGGCGTGAGCGA